CGGGAATTCACAACTACCCAGAGAGTTGACCTGGATACAAGCGCTTTGGTGAACTTGCAAATCCTGCCCACTTCCTCGATCGAGTTCCTAGACTCAAGGTAAGTTGATGGGAAGACACACGGGTCTCTCCAAGGGAGGTCGGATCCATGGATATTGAAAAGCTAAAAAGGCCTGTGCCCAGACTCGGCAGCGGGAAAGAGCTTGTCCTCATACCAGTGTTTCTTGGTCACATGCTTCTTCTTGCAATGGTTGACGGTCTAGTTCTCTTTGGTTCAGCGACTTTGTGTTCCTTACATCGTCTTTGTACGGCCCCTCCATCTGTCAACAACCATTTGTCTGCCAGCTTGTTGTACCCTGGTCGCTTGTGAGGATGGCACAGGACTGGGCAGTGTTTCCTTCCGTTGGGCAGAGGGTTGCTTTATGGGTCAGGAAGGACACAGTGGCTCATAAAAGTAACATCTTTCAAAATGTGAGCGCATATTTTTAGTTTTGCTTAAATGTATTCCTCCACTTCTACCAGCTAAAGGTCTTCAGTTTAAAAAAACAATATTAGGGGATTCTTCCGTTTTCCCAGTATCTGTCCACGGTGTTAGTGCTTATACCGTACAGGCATTTTGACGGCCCTCTCAAAATAAAACCTACTGCCATGGAGTCAATGCTGACTCGGAGACCCCCTGTGGATTGCTGACACTGTAACTGGTTATGAGAGTAAAAAGCCCAGTCTATCTCCTGGGAAGCTGCTGGTGGTTTCAAAGTGCTGACTATGTGCACCCGTAGCCCAACACATAACCACTTCCATGCCAGGGCTCCTCAGTTTATCCTAAAGCATGGAACAGTCGTACTGCCTTCTTGAGAACCCCACACTCACTTTCTGACCAGCAAACTCCCACGTTGAATTTACAAGGATACAGGGAGAAGCAGTAGCTCTAAATCTCTCGGCTAGTCCTGGAAGCAAGGAGGAGCAGACTGCTATGGGAAAGACAGGTAAAAGAAGCAGAAGCATACGCCAAGGATAAAGGGGGTTGCCCTGTAGACCGAGACTTGTAAATGAGAGAGTTCTTCCTTTTGTCCTCAATTCTGAACCGATGGGTCAAAAAAGTGTGCTCTTGATTATAAAGCTATTACCAAAGATCTTTGCAGAAAAGTCTGTGTATGTTTAGTTTATTGAAAAGAAGAAACCCCAAACAAGTATGTCTATAAATGGCTTTGCCTGCAGTTTTCTTTGGTCTATGTCAGACAAAGCGTTGTTGGGGCATCAGCCCATTCCCACCTTCTTTTCTCTGCTACATATATGGAATGAAATTCCCTTTGTCCTCATATTATCACTTAGATGATCTTCCTCTTGGGCAGCATGCTTTGTCATGATACTTTATCTTCTTAAGTTGCCCTTTGAAATGTAATGCTCGGCCCTGTTCCTTCATCATTTCTCCCATTTGCTTTAACTACGTCCCTACCAATGGCAGATTCTGAGTCTCTGATTTCCGCCTTGATCATTCTGTTCTGTCTGGTGATTGGCTTCACTTTCTTCATGCATAATGTCAATGATGGCATCCTACAGCTGGTCCAGGTCCCTGTCTCTAGTGATCAATTAGTCAAATCTGCTCTAGAGATGGTTTTGACATTCATGTGTGATGCGTATGAGGTTTTCTTTTTGCTGAAGTTGCGTGTCAAGGTTGTGGGCCAGAATTCTCAGACGTATTTCTGTTGTTGTTGGCATTCCTGCAAGGAGGTCTGCTCTGATACCATCACTACTGTGATGCGATCTGTTGTGATCAGACAATCATGGAGA